CTCCGAGTGTTTTAAGGTACGCAGGCTGCAGACGCTAAGCTGCGAGCAAATGGACTGGGAAATGCCAGAGGAATTAACTAAACAAACAGAGGGAGATTTTCTGCGTGGTTGGGAAAGGCTGATCCAGCACTGACACATGACACTGCTGCTTTTCTCTTCGCTTCGTCAAAATGTGGCGCACAATAACGTCATAAAGAGAGAGAAAAGAGTAAGAGTGGACAAAAATCATACTCGAGTTGTTGGGTTACTTCAAAATAAAACTGATCAAGTTGAAGTAAGATTAGGAGTCAAAACGTAGGCTATTGGAATTGTTCACAGTAATCATATTAAACTTATCTATTTCCATCGAGAGAAGCTCTAAGCCAGTCATGTCCAAACTATGACCCGGGGGCCAAATGCGGCCCTCAGACAAATTTTTCTTGGCCCTCAGACTTTCCAAATTTCCTTGCATCAATTAAAAAATTTTTTACTGCAAGTTTTTTGAAAATCTACCTTGAAAAAGCTCATGTTTAATATTTAGCGTGTGGTTTTAAGGATCTTAGCGTGAATAAAAACTGATGGATCATTCTAACGTGTTAAACATGCACACATTTCAATTATTCCCTGTACTGAGCGCAAATCTACGGCCCTCGATCGGCCTTCTGCTTTGTCTGTGTTTAGATATGTGGCCCTTGAAGAAAAAAGTTTGGACACCCCTGCTCTAAGCCAATGTACAGGTCTGATCTATGGAGAAGTGGGCCAGTTACATTAGAATGCGTAGAATTTGCTGTTTACTGTCGACCACTTGTAGGTTGCTTCACACTTTTGTCCAGTTCAAACCAGCTCGATGGGGTTTTAAGTCTGGACACTGTGCTGCTGCTGCCAGGTTTTCAAGCTTTACCATCTTGTTCTTTTTTCCTGAGGTAGTTTTGGCAGCGCTTGGACTTGTGTTTTGTTATTTTTATATCATTTCAAGAATTGTTTTTGTCAGATGTGGACCTGGATGAAGAAACATCTGAGCTGCCTGCACGCTGAGGAAGACTGAGGAGCATAGAGAGCCTGTTTAAATCCAGGCTCAAAACATTTCTGTTTGACTGAAAACTGTATAACTGAAAGGTTTTCATTCCACACTCTTCTCTCCAATTTATGTCTGTCTTTTTTCATTTTAAATCTCATGTTTATTTATGTTTTGATTTGTTTTTATTATGATTTTAATGTATTTCTTATTCTTTAAAGAATTGTGTACGAATTGTGCAATACAAATAAACTTGCCTTGCCATTTTTACCTCTCCACAGATCTGACATGTAACTTGGCCCTATGGCATTTCCTGCTGTCTCCATAGAGATGAATGAGTGTAATGCTATACTGTGGAACATTCCAGGCAACATCTCCATGGAGAAAAGACGGCGATGGACCCTTTATCTGAAAAGTTACACAGTGCATCTTTATTATCTTTTATTTATTCATCTTTGACCTAAACTGATCAGAAAGTGGATTAGTGGCTTGTCACATCTTGGATTTTAGTCTCATGAGCAATTTGGAAAATATCTGCACTGAATCTTGTCTCGAACTCCACACACCTTCTCTAGAATCATTTGGATCGTTTCAGCTCTGAAATGTCCAATCTCTACCGAACTAAAGGTAAAAAGTAGCTGTTAACTTCAAAAACAGAGCATTTGGAACTTTGGAGGTCTCTCCTTGTTTTGCTTCATGCCTGAAAAAGAATTGTATTTACACAGGTTGTCCAGCAGAGGGCACTAAACATCAACTTTAAAACAACTGAGCCAAACCTGAACTCACAAGCAGGTTATGTGCAGTGTTGGGGAGTAACAGATTACATGTACCGCCGTTACGTAATCAGAGTACAAATTATGAGTAACTGTATTCCGTTACAGTTACTGCTTCAATGAGTGGTAATTGGATTACAGTTACTTTGCTGAAATAAGTGGATTACAAGACGGTATTTTCCTGTTTTCACATTTTGTGCTACATCCCATTTATTTATTTTTTTTATTTCGGTAATTCCACTCATTGCTGGAAACCCAAACAGAACGCGACAGTAAGAGCGATGGAAACGTCATGTTAAAGTTGGCGGTGTCAGTCACACAGTGGAAGCAGCAGTGCATTGGTAAAAACGCATTTGTGTCTTGGAAATTCTTCTCCCGATGTGAGATAATATATATAAAAAACAAAAACAAATATAAAATCGCCTACAACTTAAATGTGAAACAGGAGCTACTGGCACTGGTGAAAACAACCTGCATAGACCCATAATATCTGCACTACTGTCCTATAATGACCTGCCACATGAGTGGACGCACACAAACACACACAAACACACACACACACACACACACACACACACACCTTCATCATCGTCATCAACCTGAGAACCCGCGGACCACGTCTCCTTCCGTAGTTACAGCGCGGACACCGACGTCTCGTGCGCCGCGTGTGGACCGTGTTTTCTCGCGTAAACCGCGCTTCCTCCTGTGCGCCTCTAAACCAGAACTAACACCAGGACTAAACCAGGACTAACCCAGGACTAAACCAGAACTAACACCAGGACTAAAACCAGGACTAAACTAGGACTAAAGCAGGACTGAACCAGGTTTAAACTAGGACTAAACCACGACTAAACCAGAACTAAAGACCTGATCTAGACCTGGTCTAGACAGGTCTAAAAATCAGGACTAAACCAGGACTAAACCAGGTCTAAACAACATGACACCTAACAGTAGGTTGACATAATTTAAGGTGATCTCATATAAAAAATAATTTCTCTATCAATAATATTTTTTAATATTAAGGAAAGGCTGATCTTGTTATTGTCTTTTAACAGACAAAACCTCTTATATTAAGATCTCGTGGTCTTTGTTTCTCTACAGCAAACAGTTGCTTATTCATGGAGACTTGGGCTCAGACAATTTGAAATTTGAAATTTAAAAGTAACCTTCCCAACACTGGTTATGTGTCATACTATTTTAACTTTTTACATTTTTATTCTTGACTTAAATTGTTGATCTTTTACATCAGCCAATATTATTTTCAAGAAATTCTACTCTTACTATGAGGCACTGTGCTTTGAGTGCCTTGAAGGTAGAAAAACACTAGATAAAAACATAATCATTTATCAGTTGACTGACATTTTTCGTTACTCTACCCACACATTATTTCATGTATATTTTCAAATTACAGATTTTTTTTTGTAGAAAGTGTATATTTGCAACAATAAGCTCTATAATTAGTGCAGGTAGATAGTTGTATAATTACTGCCCAGTTTCAAACACTAGGAACTCAAAATACATAAAATAAGTTATAAATAAAATGACATGAACATGAAGCAAAAAAATGGTCAACCTGATTTATTTTTATTTTTTATTGTGGATGTGGAAATTGTATTTTTCATTATTATTATTTTTTTTTAATTTGGAGATATAAAATATTAATAGACAATTCAAATGTTATCAATTTAGGATTTCACTATTTTAAGAGACGTGTCAATAACCATATATCACAATAAAATCATTTTACTTCTTTATTTTTCTTACAATAATTGCAATACAAGTTTGACATTGCAAAATCTCTACAGAATATTGTTAAAATAAACCTGTGAAAACAAATGGCATACAATGATAGATATATATATATACAGTATAATAAAGGGAAATAAGTGCAAGATTAGATATTGAAAGGAAAAATAGGTTTAAAGGTTGAAAATATAGAGAAAATACATGACATATTATTAAAAATTGTTCTGAAAGAGGGTACTTGCATGTATAGAAAGGGGGATTGGCAAAACAATACACAGGTCACCAAGATTATGTTTACTTGGAGAGAAATCATGCCAGGGGTATCAAAATGTGAATTTAAAATGTGGTTTTAAAGGTCGGGGTGATACTACTGCACGGATAATTCTTATTGTGTGAAAGCAGCCCTCTTTTCCAGACCTTAACAGATGGATGGACAATATAATAAATAGTTTCATATGAGAAATTATTGTCAAGGCTGAATGATAATGTGGACATTTTTCTAAAATCTTGTGCACCAATTTTTGACTGAAGTGCCTATGACAAGTTCAGTTTTGCTAGAACACATTTAAGATCATTGTGTTTGGGATTTTAGTAGGAATTTTTCCAATTTGGACATTTTTAGGCTTGAAATTATATTTGCAACAGGTTAAGATTGAGTAAAAATTAGACAGCCACGAAAACTAAGAAAAATAACTCCACTAGTTTAAAAAAATATATACAATAATAATAATAAATGATAACCAAATCCTCATATTACCCATTTTTTTACTTTGTCGACAAATATTTAGTTGACTTTGACTTTTGATTGTTCAAATTACTGTTCAAACATATACAGATATTCAAAAGTTTAGACTCATTCTCTCATTCAGTCATTTTCAAAGTGTCTTTTTTTCTTGCTACTTTCTACATTTGATAAACACACAGAAAGCATCAAATACATGAAGTAAGATAAATGGAATTATTTAGTAAAGAACATTAAAAAAAAACTCTTAATTGACAAAATATTGAATAGATTTAATATATTTGACAAAGAAAACGTGGGTATTTTGAGGATTTGATTATAACATGAAAAAAGCAAATAAAAAAAAACCCAAATGCATCAAAAAAGCTTTACCAAGGAGCAGCTTTAATTAAAAAGGACCCACGATTAGTGAATCAGTGGCGTTAATATTATAGATTCACCATTTCATATCCCTATTGTAACTTAACACTGTTCCAAGTTTTGTATTTGTGTTGTTTTGTCTTTACTACATACAACTTGAAAAACTGACATTAAAATTATATATAAATATAATAATAACGAGTAAAAAGTGATAGTTTTTTTTTTTTTCTTTGTCACATAATTCCACAGATACTTCATATATTTGTTGTCTTTTGTATTATATCAAAAGTAGAAAGTAGTATACACTGAATGAGGGAGTCCAAACTTTTCACTTATTTCATGACGACATTCAAATTCTTATAAAAACGTAGTGGCGCATTTTCTCTTACTCTGAAAATGGTTGAGTTTTAGTTGGATGGCGCAGGAGCCTTTTCACGTGCCTGTATATCTCTGCCACTTTGAGCCCGTACACCACCGGGTTGAAAACCGACGGAATCACCACGACGAGAATCGACGTGGCCACTGTGACGTTACGGGCTGTAATGCGTCTGTGCAACAACTCGGTAGAAGCGGCTACGGAAAAATTCATAAAGACGAGTATGTGGGGGAGACACGTGTTCAGAGCTTTAGAGCTGAACGACCTGGAGCGTTGTAAAGAAATGATGAGGACTTTGCCGTAAGAGAAAAGCACAAACGCAACAGGTAAGAAAATAGTTATCGTGGCGCTCATGAGCCCGTAGGCGTTGTTAATCTGAGTCGACGCGCCTTCGCAGCTCATGCTAGTGAACGTGTACGGGTCGCAGAAGATTCTCGTGACCTGAGTGTAGCAGACGGGAAGCCGGTTGGACAAAACCATCGCCCCTGCCACGCGGAGAGCCGGGAGGAACCAGCAGAGGAGCAGCAAGGCCGAGACCGTGCGAGGAGACATGAGGCTGGCGTAGTACATCGGGTGGCAGATGGAAAGGTAGCGATCGAAAGCCATGGCCGACAGGAGCATGAAGCTGGAGCTGCCGAGCGTGGCCGTCAGAAACGCCTGGCACAGACAAGCCGAGCGGGACACCAGGACCACGCGCCGGCCCTGGACCAGGTCCCACACCAGCTTGGGGTAAACGGCGGAGCTCCCCACGGCGGAGTTGACGAGCACGGCCACGACGAACACGTACATGGGGCGGTGCAGGCTGCGCTGGGAGCACACGATGTACACCACCAGACTGTCGCTGAGCATCACGAACACGTAGAGGAACAAGATGAAGAACGCCAACCACAGCCTGTGCTCGTACAGCTGGGTCAGACCGTCCAGACTCACGGTGCTCATAGAAACGTTCATGTTCATCATCGTTTGACAGTCGGTTAATGACACGGTAAATCATCAGAACACCAGAGAGTAAAGAGAGTGCAGAGCGTACAGAGCCACAGACACATGCGACAGCGTCTGTAGCAGCAGCAGATGTTTCTCAGAGAGCTCACAGAGAGAGACAGACAGCAGCACACACGTCCCTCTCAACATGCTGAAGCACACACCGGCATGGTTCACACACACGTGGTCCTTACATAAGACAGGGACACAGGCCACGGTCCGCTCTGGCTTTTATTGTGCTCTTCGCTGATGGACACTCCCCGAGGTGCTTATTAGACACAAACATGTTTACGTTTGCAGAGATAATGGTGAGTTTTAAAATTAATTAAAGTGAACTGAACTGTGAGCACCAAACTTCAGCAACAGGATTGACCAAAATGTAAAATTTCAACCAATATTGGGTGTACCTCAGGCATATATGATAGCACCATGACTGTTTTATAGACTAAATTAATAGACCATAAGTGAGCCTTAATGGTCTCACAAACCTCCAGTGTCTATTATTACAGTGAATAACTGAGGCTACGTTTATAAGATGACGGTCTGAACAGAAGGCGCAAAAGTTGCGTTGCATCTTCACTTTTTATTCCGTGTTTAGACAAGTGTTTTCAGGAGGAAATCTGCGTGCATATGGTGACGCAAAAGTGTTTCGAATTCAACTGGGTAAGCGTACCTTCCGACGTGTTTGTTTCTGTGTACTGTATGTATGTGACGTAAATGTGTACATGACATGAGAAGATCTGACCAGAGTTTTGCATCTTGGGCAGTGTAGACGGAAATGCTACGGCAGAGCGTATTCAACTTTTCCACTCTGGAGGGTGATTTCAGAATTTTGCATTTTTAAGTCCCAAAAACGCCGTCACCCTCTAAACAAAAGACTCTTCTGATAAAACATTTTGTTGTTTTTATCCACAAGCGTTCTCGTGTAAACAGGCCCTTAATATTTGCTATTTTCAACTAATAATGGAACATCTACATAGCCACATTTGTTTCGAAAATATCAACTTTGCCTCAAATTATTTGCATTACATGTAAAGCAAACAGAGCTTTATATTTTGCTTTTCAAAACATGTAGGGCCTGCTCATGATAAAACCAGGCTAAGGTTCTGTGTGTGAAACGTGAGGCCTGCTCCAGTTTGAATGCGAAATTGCAGTAAGCATCAAATTGAAATAAGTTCACTAACGAAGTAAAATCATGTTAAACAGTGACATAATTAATAATTTTAATATCCCTTTATTCTTCTGTGCCTATATGCATGGATTTACTTTCAGGATACTGGACTTCCACACAATCTGCTCACAACCGAAGAGGATGGTCTGCATTGCCCTAAGCATCGGCTCTCCTCAGGGGAGTGTCCAGAGCCCTCTCCTGTACTCCTCAGCACTCTCCATTACCCCCCTCAGTGCCACTGGTTTGACACGGGGCGGGCACTTAGCAACGCTGTCAATCATGTCTCGTTAAGACTAGCAGGAGCTGACCTCAGGAAAAGAAGGCATCTGATTGGTCAGCTCTTAAAATTCATATCTTAATTTATAGACAAACAGTCTACAATCGAGACCAAGGTGTGCAACAACAATCTAGTGTCTTATGTACATCTGTTATACTCATATTCAACCAGTACACACTACATATTTTTATCTTTTTGTAAAGACATACATTTTGTTTACACATTAAATGTAATCCTTGAATATTGTAAATATTTCAATTTGATTTGGAAGTTATATGCACATATTGTTATTATTGTGTGACTGTGAGCACTTTTACCCAGACTGTATAAACATGGGGACTATGTGACGTCACCCACAGTGTTCAGCTCCAGTCAAATGGAACTCACAGGGCAAACATGGAGCAGAGTTTCATGTTAGGAAGAGATTTAGGGATAAAATAGTGAAATAAAAATACCAGGATCATATAGGAAAGGAAAGGTACTTTATTGTCCCCTGTAAGGAAAACTCGCCCTCTGCATTTGACCCATTCTTCTGTGCTGCTGGGACATCTCCTCAGGAGCAGTGGCAGTGCATGACCTGTCCCTGTGATCTGGAGTGTATGGAAGAAACCAGAAACAAGGAGAACATGCAAACTCCACACAGAAACACCCAGGCAACCCACGGATCTAACAGGTTAAAGGCAGGTTAAAGGAACAGTCCGGAATTTTGGACATAGGACCTCACTTCCTAGCGAACCAGAGTGTTGGAGATGTGTGGAGACACTTCAGCAGTGAGTTGTACTTCCTGATAGAAAGCTCTGCAATGGCGGACTGATATCACCTAGCGCTTGTTTTACCGACAAAGTAAAGTTCCACTGCTGCTGGGAAAATAGTCCCTCAACATGCGACAATTCATGCAGTGCAAGGTTAGTTTTATTTCAAACATTATTCTATCGATACAGACATTTACACTGACAGTCTGGTGTAATAATAGATTTGCTTTGGGTGTTTTGTGGAGTGGGTAAAACTGTTTTTAGTGGCAGGATAACTGTGACCATTGACATGCACTAGTCTAACACCAGTGACCTCTGCAAATACAAGGACTGGATGGAATATTTTTAAAAGTGTCTCCACACGTCTCCAACACTCTGGCTCACGAGGAAACGAGGTCCTATGTCCAAAATTCCTAACTGTGCAGCCTGCAATACGAACATTTTAAGATAAAAATTTCAACAGCAGCAGTTACAGAAAGAGTCAACTTGAGACCGAGTCAAGGGAACCAGAAGCGTCCCATGTACATTTTCTATTTGGAAGTAACAGGTCAGCCATTTTCATTTCCATATTCAGTCTCTGCCTTTTCCATTGTTTAGGTGTCAGTTTGTGGTCTTTGACAGTGCAGCAGTTCCTTTAGCTTCAGGTAAATCTCACGCATCTTCAGCCCGTACACGATGGGGTTGGACACCGTGGTCACGACCACAATAAGAACCGAGACGACGAGGGCCGAGCGGCTCTCCTCTTCGCTCGACTCAATCTGCTGCAGGTCCACAATCGTGCATATCGCGTAGTTGAGCACCACGATCACATGGGGCAGGCAGGTGTTGAGGGCTTTCGAGGCAAAAGTCCCAGAGCGCTGCAAACAGAGGATAAGGATGCGCCCGTACGAGAAGAGCACGAACGCAATGGGGAGGAAAAAGAGGAGCGTTCTGTTGAGAAAACCATACGCTTTATTCGGCATGTCTCCTGAACAGTTCAAACTGATGTAAGAATAGATGTTACAGTACAATCTAGAGAGTCTGTCATAACACGGTTGCAAACGATTCGCAACCAACAAAGCCCCTGCTATGGGCAAAGGAGGGACCAGCCAGCAGAGGAGCAGCAGAGTGGTGACGGCGATGGGCGACATGAGGGCGGCGTAGCGCATCGGGTGGCAGATGGACAGGTAGCGATCGAACGCCATGGCGGACAGGAGAAGGAAGCTCGAAGCGCCCACCGAACCCAAAACGAACCCCTGGCACAGACAAGCCGAGCGGGACACCAGGACCACGCGCCGGCCCTGAGCCAGGTCCCACACCAGCTTGGGGTAAACGGCGCAGCTCCCCACGGCGGAGTTGACGAGCACGGCCACGACGAACACGTACATGGGGCGGTGCAGGCTGCGCTGGGAGCAGACGACGTACACCACCAGACTGTCGCTGAACATCACGAACACGTAGAGGAGCAAGAGGAGAAACGCCAACCACAGCCTGTGCTCGTACAGCTGAGTCAGACCGTCCAGACTCACGGTGCTCAAAGAAATGTTCATGTTCACACAGGCGAGGCTAGAAAATATACCACTGCTCAAAAGTTTTAGAACACCCTAATTTTTCCAGTTATTTATTGCAATTAAAGACGTGCAAGTCCAATGAAGAGCTTGAAATGGTGCAAAGGTAAAAACTGAATAGACAGTTAAAAAATAGATAAAGGATAACAAAAGTCAAACAAAGTCCAAGCTCTGCCAAAACTACCTCAGGAAAAAAAGAACAAGATGGTAAACTTGAAAACATGGAGTGTCCAGCACAGTGTCCAGAGTTAAACCCCATCGAGCTGGTTTGGGATGAACTGGACAGAAGAGTGAAGCAACCTACAAGTGCCACACATTTATGGAAACTTCTGCAACACACTTGGGAAGAACTTTCTGAAGAATATTTGATTTCTATCGTAAAAAGAACGAGCCACGAGTGTGTTCAGCTGTTATATCTGCCAAAGGTGGACACTTTCATGAATCAAAAGTTTAGAATACATTTTGGTCAAAAGTAAACAGTAAACAATAAAAAACAGGAAAAATGTTTTGACTGGTAGTGTATATCGCAGTCGAATCAAAATGAGAGAAATGCAAAGACTGCAATTATTTAGGTTACATACATTCCAAAAATAAAAATAAAAATTACAAGATATCACCTCTAACCATGCTATCTGCTAACCCAAAACTTTACTAACATGTTCTTAAATGATGATTGTTAAAGTGTTGTGGTCCAAATGTTAGTCTTCTATCAAACATTAACAGCTCCTGCATGTGTTTAAAATGAGGCCTACCTACTTCTAAAACATAAATCACAAATACAATTGAAATCGCAATGTTTATCAGAAAAAAAATCACAATTTGATATTTTCCAAAACTGTGAAGTGTTATACTACGAGACACTATCATTCACCCTAACCCTATGTGGCGTTTATTTGGTAATTTAAGCATTTGTCATTTTTCATAATTCAGCAAATTGACAAAACAAATGGCTTTACAATAAATAAAATAAATAAAAATAAAGAAGAAAGATATAAAAGGGTTCAAAAGAAAAAGAAAGTTGCAGATATATTTTAAAAAATTAATAAATTATGCCACTGCATGCGTTATTCAAAGGTTATTTAAATTTTTCATTACAGCAGAAAGTGCAAAGTCAAACACAATGAGATGTTTGGTGTTTTTGAATAACGCCTTGACCTTTGACCTAACCTCTTCAATGGCTTTTAAAACATTATATACATACACAACACTAAAACAAAAACAACAACATCAGCTTCTGGCCCGTATACAAACTCTGAACGGTGGAAGAAGCAGCAGAATTATCGAGTAGTTACAATAAAAAAGTCAATAACGCACACATTTAAAAACATAACAATCCAAAGTTTACATTAACCAAGCAACAGGGCATGATATAAACTCACAAACCTGAAACTATAATACACCAGCAAAGATCAGAAAATGGGTGGAGAAAACAGAAAAGCGACATTATCCGTTTGTGTCCAGCTGAAGACAAAAATTGACCAAACGTAAATACAAATACATCGTTAATTCTGATAATGAACAGTCAATTTCAAATTCTGTTGTGTTGTTTGGATAATATCGCATGTGAAAAGGCTGAACCACGCCACATTTGGAGAAAACCCGTAGAATTATAATGGGTTAAGAGGAATTAACCAATATTACTGGAATTAGGAATTAAAAAAATATCCAAAAGTTGTCATTATTACACCATACAAGTGAATCGCAATTACAATTCTTATTTCTGGAAACAAAAGTGTACGTTTTGTTTAAGGACCTGCACAAATTTGTCATAAAATTGGAAATAAATGGCAACAATAATGTGATTATATAAAACCATCTGACCACTCAACCCTCCACCCTGCAAGAAAAACAAAGAGAGACAGCATACACGTGAATTACAATTACAGTTATTATTATTTTTGGTCAAAACAGGTGTATATATGTTGGTTATTGAGAGAGTTAGAAATAGCAGCAATAATAAAACGACATTAGACTCGCCTGTAGCTCAACCGTGGAGTTAGAAGAGTGGAAATACGAAGAAAATCACAATTACAATTCTTGTTTTTAGTCAAAATAAATGTATGTTTTGGTTATTGACATGCATAAATACGTTAGAAAATGGGAAGGAAATAGCAACAATAATACAAATACATTAGACTAGCAGAAAACAATGAGAAGACAGACTGCAGACCAAACAACAGCCGGTGTGTGGAGCAGCTGTAGCTTGTCCGTGAAGCTGAAAAACACAATTACGTTTCATTAGTACAAACATCAGCACGTTCGCTTCACTGTCAGGTTAAACTGTGTCCTGACGGGAGCAGAGGGGCACTGAGGTCTGAGCTTTTATCGGCGTCCGTACTCTCCACGGCGCTCATTAGAGACCGGGATTTAAAAAAAAAAAAGTTTTAGTGTTTTTAATTATTGCTCTGTTTAGTGGGATGGTCCATGTGGTAAATGTCAAGGGGGAGTTTGTGAAAAAAAACGTTAAAAAGTAATACAGGAAGTCAGAGGCGGGACCAAGTCGTTGTTTTGCGAGTCTCAAGTAAGTCTCAAGTCTTTGACCTCAAGTCCAAGTCAAAGACAGGCAAGTCCAAGTCGAGTCTTGAGTCACTGGCCCATAAGTCCAAGTCAAGTCCAAGTCGTCTGCTCTGAGCTCCAAGTCATTTCAAATCTTTAAACCGAAGTATTTTTGCAGTTTATATGACTTTTAAAGTAAATTATACTTAAAAAAAAGTCATGGTATATTTATATATGAGTATTTATGTAAGAGTTTAAACACAACGGATTCCAGGCACTCCAAAAAAGTAAAAAAAAGTTTTTAAAAAATCACACAAGGAAAAATATAGTTAAAAGGCCTTTATTTGAATGAAAATAAAAGGCCTTTTAACTATATTTTTCCTCATGCGATTTTTTTTTTAACTTTTTCTACTTGCCTGGAATCCATTGTGTTTAAGTTTTGATCTTTTTTCCAAGAGCACCCTCTACCTGCTCCTACTGATTGGAACACCTGCAGCAAACAGCCACATTTTTGTTCTTTCTGCATTTATATAAGTGCAAATTTTTCTTGTCAAGATTTTAGTGTGAATCATTATGATCAAAATAGAAAGAATTTAGATTTAAAAGAGCTAAATTACAGTTATTTTGTCATGAAGGATCATGTTCTATGTAGTTCCCTCTGTTTTACTGTATCGTACTGTATATCACTGTAGTACATTTGAGGATACCACATCACAGTACTTCAGTTCCATCTAAAGTAACAAAACGGAAAAGGCAGAGGGACATGTTCCAGTTTGTTCCTAAAATTAAGCACCACATTTATCAACTGTAAAGAGAAAAGTATTTTCTAAAAACATATTTATTTAAGGAGAAGCATCAAGTCTTCTCAAGGCCTCAAGTCCCAAGTCTTAGTCCATTTTATCAAGTCAAGTCTCAAGTCCTGAAAATAGTGACTCAAGTCTGACTCGAGTCCAAGTCACGACTCGCAAGTCCCACCTCTGCAGGACGTAGAGCTGAGTTCTAAAACGCAACACCTCCAACTATGACATCAATTCAGAAAATTACATCCCAAAACACAAGAATTTATGCACAAGGAACAAATTTTTCTTGTAGTTTAAACATGAATTTAACAAAATAACAGTAGTATAATTAATTAATTGTAACTATTGTGTAATTTAGATCTGTTAATGTGGGAGTAGGCCACTGACAGCCTTTTACATACGACCTGAACAGAAGAGTCTGTCACCGGTATTGACTCTTGGTTGAAACATAACGTCTTCCGCCGTCTCAGAGCTGATGCCGCCTCAGGGCAGTGGCACGGTGCTGCTCCACTCGAAGTCCAGTTGAGAATTGAGAGTGGCACATTTTGATACAAGCCAAATCAGACAGGACTAAGAGAAGCAAAACTGTCTCAAGTCCAAGGGTAAAATCTTGGCACTGAAGCCTTCAATAACGTCTGGAGACATACTGGTACGGATGAACTACTGAAGTAATTAAAAGAATATTAGACTGAAATGCAAGGAACTTTAAAGCACTGATTGAGATACGAGTGATTTTCAGAAGGATTTGGGGGAAATCACTAAAAGGATGAACACTGTGGAACAAAGAGTCTGAAACTGAATAGACCGAAATCAATGTTACGAAAGTGGTGATTCAAATGGACAAACATGTGCAAAAAGCATCGTCATCGTCGTCCTGGAGAAAAGTGAAGGAGGTAAGATGATCGATTCTGATATGGTAAAACTGGCAAGTTCATGGCTATAAAACTGGTAACGGCTCAGACGGAGACTCCAGACTGAGGGCGTGGCAGCGTGCGTCTGCTCTAAAACTAACTGAATTGGCGTCTGCTCCTAAAATACCTGCTCCACTGTGAAGTTATATGATAAAGCAAAACCAACTTAAGGAACCGTGGACAAATACACCAAATGATGATCTTTCTGAGCATCGAAAATACAAGGAGGTTTGCAAAGTGTCAGCAATCACCCTAAAATCAGTAATTCAGCCTTCAAGCCAGAAATTGTGCCGCCGTTGTTTTTCCACCAGTTTAATTCATTGATTTATGGAGCCAAACCCAAACATACGTCCTTGTCTTTCCAGGCCTCCAGCTCACAAAACTCGAGCACAAAGCTAAACCCCAATTCCAGTGAAGTTGGGACGCTGTGTAAAACTCACAAAAAAACCCAAAACAAAACAGAATATAATGATGTGCAAATCCTTTTCAACCTATACTGAACTGAATAAACTACAAAGACGTGATATTTAATGTTCAAACTGATAAACTTTATTGTTTTTATGCAAATATTCACTCATTTTCAATTTGATGTCTGCAACACGTTCCAGTGTTCCGACGTGCAGAGATTTCTCCAGATTCTCTGAATCTTTTGATGATATTATGGACCGTAGATGATGAAATCCCTAAATTCCTTGCAATTGTACGTTGACAAATGTTGTTCTTAAACTGCTGGACTATTTCCTCACACAGTTGTTCACAACGTGGTGACCCTTGC